CAAAAGGCCCCCCCAGCTGCCGTGAGCCTCCTTGAGGGCCGCGCGCACGAGACGGGGGCCGAGGAATGCGCGTGTTGGCCTCGCTCCACGTTTCACCCCCTTGGTATGCCGTGAGAAGCTTTCCCGCCCCCCCCAACGAGACCTTACTTAAATTGCACCCCGTCCCCGAAAGGGCGTGGCCCGACTGGGGCCCGGCGGAGGGCCCCCAAGGGGGCCCACGCCCGAGCCCAACAAGGGCCAGGACCCGAACAAGGCGACAGGGAGCCAGACCAGGGCCGACAAGGGAGGGGGTGGTGTTAAGGCGACGCGCGGGTTGGGAAGAGTGAAGCTCTAAGATAAAAAAACGCCATCGATTCATAGAGGCGCAAGGACATCGAACTTTTACAGCGAGGCAAGGGCCCTCGCAAACTCATTCGCGCGCTGATTCAGCGCGCTGCTACTGTTCTGGTCGATCACCTGCTGTGCTAGAGCGGCGAGCCTGTCATTTATGTGTATGCGGCTGGTGCGGGCGTCGTTCCATTGCCCACGATGCGCAGTCCTCGACATGTCGCCATGGGTCATCATGTCGTGCGTCGCGCCGCCTCGGCGCAGGTTGCAGGGCTTCAGCCCCAACTGCTGCGAGCCCAGCGCCGCGCGGCCCTGCTCGAAAAGGCTGCGGTATTGGGCCCCCGTCCCATCCAAGAGCCGAGTGCCAGCGCGCCTGCGCCCTCTCAGCGACGCCAGAGCACGGCCAGCAGCAGGATCGTCGACGGTGATGAACCCCTTGGCTCCGCGCCTGACGCCGCTCTTCGACCGCGGGGGCGCGATGGCACTGGTGCCCATCGCGCCGACAGCCGCGTGCTCGTATGCCATCGCGAACATCTCCCCAGTGCGCGTGAGGCAGTGGAAGGCGCGCGATCGTGACAATGGCCGCGTCGCGCCGGCCCTGGGCCCACATCCAGTGGCCGAGCGCAAGGGGCATGCTCGATGTGAGCGGCGGTGTGCGGTCGGGCACCTCGATGCGATTCCGCGCGCGGAACAGGTCCCAAGCGCCAGGGAACGCCCGCCTGCGGCTGAGGCAGAACTGCGCGCCGCTCAGCGTGTCGCTTGCAACTCGCGCTCCAGCCAAGTGCTCTAGGTAGAATCGCAAGTGCTCGCCGGGCTGGCATGGCCCCGCCGCCGACGGCCGACCTGACTGCTGCTGGTGCCGCGCAAAAAGACAAGCAGCACGAGGATAACAAATTCGTGTTCGGGGTACAAGTCGGTGGAATCGACGAGGCCCCGGCCCGGGCGCTCTTCGCGCCTGGGCCCAGCTCGCCTGGTCTGGGTAGTGGCGGAGACGTCTAGGCAGCTCGCTTGTTCTGGCGGCTGGGGGCGTCTGCCGGGTTGTCGCCGGTCCGACAGAACCCTGGGGCGGCCGCGCTGCCCAAGGCCATGACCAACGCTGCAACTTTGCGAGCCACTCCATTCAGCTGTATGCTTCCCGAACGAAACTTGGCAAGCGCGGCGATGGAGACCTGGCTGTCCAGCGCGTGCAGAAACTTGCGTTCGTGGTTCGTCTCTGCACTAAGTCGCCACTTGAGTGCTGAGAGGAATGCCCTCATCTCAACTTCGTTGATATGAGCAGCCTCGCGCCAGCTGAACTGCGCCGCCGTGCGCCGGCGCCGCCATCCTGGAGAAATTGGCTGCCTCGGCCACCCCGACGGATGAAACAGCTCGCCCGTCGACGTGCGGACGTCGCTGTCCCTGGTGCCAGTGGACCTCATGACATCGAGCACCAAGGCCTGATCTGGGGCGAACCCGCGAGTGACGAGGGGGCCTGCCAGGCGCGGTCGGGTCTCGTCGCGCAGCTCGTCCACCGACGGCGGCGCTGGCAGGTGTCCCCACTGCGTTGCGAGGTGCCCGGGCAGCCACCCCGCCACCTCTCCGTGGAACGCGTTGCCGAGGAGGCCGCGCCGCGCATGCCCCGCCTCCCGCGGGTTGTCCTTGAGCACGCCTCGAGGTGGCGGCTACCTTGGTGAGGCCCTTGCGGCGCCCCATGAGCACCTCCCTCTCCTCGGCCGAGGGCGGGCGAAGCTGGCCTCGGTTGAGGATGCAAAGCTTCTCAATGTACTGGTGCGGCGGCAGGCTGAACTCGTCCTCGGTCCGGCGGGCCAGCGCGGCGTCGTCGCACTGGGTGATGCCGGCAGGCCTGGGCCGAGGCTCGGACCGCCTCTCGCGGCGCACTGCCGTGGGGGGGCGAGCTGCAGGGTCTGCGCCATTGGCCCGCGACGCGCCTGGCGCAAGCCACGTGGAGGTCGCCCCTTGGTCTGCGCCCAGCTTGACCTGGGGCCGATCGCCCTGGCCAGCTGGCGCACGAGCGGCTGGGTTGCATAACCCGAACGAGCGCCATCACAGGTGCGGCCTGCGCATGTGGCAGACCTGGCTGGCACAGATCCGCATCGGCTGCATCGACGTTCTCGAAGAGGAAGTCGCACTGCCGGGATGCTGTCGCCAGCTCCAGACTGCGGATGACCTCCATGGTGAGGCCTGACCTCGGATCGTGCAAGCCCTTCCTGGATGCGTTGGGCCAGCTGAGGCCTTGGCAGGGGAAAACCCCTGTGATGAGGGGCTTGCGGGCTCGGGCGCAGCCCACCATGATGGTGACCCCAGAACCTCCCGAGTGATCTTCGTGGCGCCCCCCTGCCCCTTCATCTTCGGCCAAGCGTTCCTCGCGACTTGCGAGGCAGTGGGTCGATCTCCGCCGATATGTATTACGACGTCTCCAGCCCAAGCGCGCCCCGGCTCTCGCGGGCACCGCCGATGCCGTCGAAGAGGCTGAAGATGGCGACCTTTTCTTCGCTGGCCTGCCAGGCGACGCGCCCGATCTGCTCGAGTGCCTCCTGACCTGCGTAGGATAACCCACGACTGATGCACGCGCCGCCGCCGTCCGGGCTGGCGTCGGAACAGGAGGTGACAGGCGACGCATGCAGGCGCGGGTCGACGTAGTAGGGCGGCGCAAGCAACATGGCCATCGGCAGCTCGTCGATCACAGCGAGAGGCACAGCCCAATGGCGATGTGAGCGAGACATTCACCTCCACGCTTCTCGAAGCATGCCATCCCGGCGCGCTGATGACCGCGCGCGCGGATCCAGCGTCTCAGTGCAAGCTGCCAGTGCTTCCTGTTGACGCCAGGCCGCCCGAGGGCCCGCAGGGTGAGCGAAATGAGCTTGAGGACGTGCCCGCGCGGCGCCTCCTTCTTGTCGAGGCCCCGCCGATGTGGTCGCCAAGCGCCTGGCAGCACGTCCTTGGCAGGCGCGCCCGGCGTCCCGCGGCGTGCGTGGGCTTCCCTGGCAGCGACCAGCAGCGGGCTGACGGTGTCGTTGAGCACCTCGCCGTCCTCCCTCGTGACGATCTCCTGTGCCCCCAGGTCGTCTATGCAGACCTCCCAGGCTGCGACCTCCTCCGCCAGCGCTGTGAGCGGGGAGGGGCGGTCGCGCCTCCATTCAGCCCCCCTGGGCAAGCTGGCACAAATCTTCCAGCCCTGGCGCAGGTTGTCGCAGTGAGTGTGCTGCGAGATCCCCGTCGCCGAGATCCAGCCCATGGCCGCGGTAGTGCTCGCCGCGTGGACGTAGGCCTCGCTCGGGCGGCCGACGAGCTTCCCCAGCACTGCAGCGTCGAAGGCCATGAACTTCCGTCAGCAACGGGGCAGCTTGAACATGCAGGAGACACATTGCCTATCCGAGGTCCACGACATCATCTCGTGCGCGAGCAGGGTAATGGTCGACCACTGCGACGACAGCGGCAGCTGATGCATGTCCCCGCCCACGACTCGCCGCGTGACGTTCGGCGGGGCGAAGTTCATGGTGGGCCTGAGGACGTGGCCGAAGGTGCCGTCGCGAAGGGCCGCCGAGCTCTCCGCGCCCTTGCGGGCTCCAAGCGCCCCACGGAACGCAGGGCGCCCGTCGATGTGGAGCACGTCCTCCAACTCGATCGGCCCCGCAAGCCCGCGATCCCACAACGCAGCGACGAGGTCGTGCCGCGTCTGGCGCGAAGCCCGGATCTTCGCGCAGGGAACCCGCGCGGGGAGTGCCCCATGAGGGAGCTAGAGGGAGTCCGCGTCGAGGAGGGCCTCACGCGCGTTGCCTTCGCAGAGCGCCGCGGCGTCCACGGAGGCGGCGATGCCCTTCGGCGGCAGCGCCGGCGCCGCCTGCCCCGCGGACAGCATCTTGGCCGTCCCGATCTCGCCGTCGTAGGCCACCCGCTTCCTGGCCAACTATTCAACCAAGATTGCGACAGCGGCTCAGGGTAGCTCCTGAGGAAGAGGATCGCTGCGCGCGCGATCCTCCGCACACCTCTCAGCTGCGTGGGGCTCGCCGGGCCCGCCAGGGCACGCCACTCCTCCGAGGCCTCGCAATTGGCGTGCACATGATTGAGCCCCATGGTCACCAGGTGCACTCACTGCTTGCACGCCGTGATCTCTGCCTTGGCAGTGCCTCCCAGCGCGCGGAGCTCATCGTCGCCAGGCGCAAGAAAGGGGAGAGGGAGAAGGTCGCGTTGACTCCCTTCAGCCCCTCTCCTCCTCCTCCTCCTCCTCCTCCTCCTCCTCTTCCTCCTCCTCCTCCTCCTCTTCCTCCGTCATCTCCCCTTCTTCCTCCGTCGACTTCTCCTAATTCTGCCCCTCCTCCCAGGCAAATGCCTACCCCGAGGGGAACGTTTCGGGGGGGACCAGCTCAGGGGGGAAATGTCGACATGGAATCAGCGATACATCGCCGATAGTTCGGCGATGCGGCGATGGGCCCCTAAGAGCGAGTCCGCACTCTCCTGGGCGGGGTGGGCCATCAGGCTCCTACAGGCGATGACTGGGCGATGGATTGGGGGTCGATGCGTCCCCCCTTGAGCCCATCCGCCCCCCGAACGATGCCCCTGAACCCTTCCCCCTTCCCCGGGCGACCAGGGGTACGACTCGTACTGGACGCCGCCGTCCTTCATGCAGCGCGACGTGGCGGGCTCGTAGGGGTCTATCCCTTCGGGGCCCTCCCAGCCAGGGCATTGCTGACCAGGACTTTGACGCCTCCGCCTGGAGAGAACGAAGAGAGGCGGAGACTGCTCCGGCCCACGGCTGCAGTTTCCTCTTGCGCGCCAGAGTCCTGGTTCATCAGAGTCCCCGTTGGGGGGGCCGGATCCCTCCTTCGGCCACACGCACGCAAGACTGACCCAAGGCAAGAGTGACGTCTGGTGCGCAGCTCCCAGGCCGGAGCGTGCGGTGCGACAGCAGCGGCCCGCGTGCTTGGGCTTGGCCCCGCAGCGCCCCCAGAAGGCCGCGCACCAGAGGCCACTCTGGCGAAGGGTCACTCTCCCAGACATGCGATGTCCTGATTTTTTCAATTCGCGGTCTCTGAAATCCCGACCTTTTCCCTTTCCCCCAGTGCTGGCTTTTCGTGCCGAGTCGTTCTTTGACGGCCCCGAGGCCCGGCGAGGGCACCTGAAAGCCGAAAGTGTCCAAAAACCTTCCGACGTTTTTGTTGTTGCTGTTGTTGCTGTTGTTGTTGTTGTTGTTGTTGTTGTTGTTGTTGTTGTTGTTGTTGTTGTTGTTGTTTTTGTTGTTTGTTGTTTGTTGTTTGTTTGTTGTTGTTTTTTTTTTTTTTTTTTTTTTTTTGTTTGATCGCGACGAGAGCATGTCTGGGGTTACGTGCAGCCGGCTCATGTCGCCAGGCCACCTGGATGCCGCTGGCAGGCTGGCGGACTGCTCCGGGTCACCACGCGCAGGGGACGGCCGCGGCGCCTGCTCAGCACAGGCTCGCTCTGGTGCGCGCGCACGAAGATATTCAGCTACCCGCAAGAGTGAACCCAAGCAAGAATGACCTGAGGTGCGCGGCTTACTGGGGTGTGGGCGCGCAAGCCGCTGCTACGGCTTCGCGCTCAGCGATCGGGGGACCCCATTGGCCCCGCATCAAGGGTCACTCCAGCGAAAGGTCACTCTTACGTCTATTCGAGATATACGGTCGGATTGTTTTGTTGACAGCGTGCTGCCACGGCGGCTCCGCAGACACGCTGTGCTCTGCGAGGGGATAGCGCGATGCTCCGCTCCCCTGGGCGGGAGGCTCGGAAAGGCTCGGGACGTGAACGCCTGATGACTGGGACGTGGATAGGGTGTCGCGCCGAAGCGTGGTAGGCCAGAACCCACGGAGTGACACGCTGCGCCAAAATTCCTGACCTCACTCGAGATCCGATGTCTTGAACAAAGTTTGAGCACCGTAAAAAGCCACGGCCCGAGCCCCAGACCCAATATTTCTGCGCCATCCTCCGAGCCGGATCGATCTGTGAGGGTCCCGGGGCCCGAAGCCGCGCGAAAACGCCCGCCTTGGACAAAAAGCAGCGGAGCGACACGCTATCCAAAGGATCCCGACCGTATAAAGGATCGACAGCGCTCTGGCGGCCGTCGGGGAGGCGGAAGCGCGGGGAGCACCTGGGGGGCTGGGGCCCTCGCGGACGGGCTGGGAACCCAGATCTGGCCCAGCTCAGCACGGTCTGCCAGAACGCCGATCACGGAGCCCCACTATGGTGGAGATCGGCCGATGTCTCGGCCAGCGCACACGTGGAAGCGAGCACCCCACGCGGGAAATCGAGCCGATTCGAGGGGGAGGACGAAATCAATGACCACCGCGCAAGAAGAGCCACCCAGTGCAACAATGATGGGGTGCCACGGTCCTTCATGAGAAGTCGAGGTGGAGCTGCAATTGAACAGTGCCTGGAAGGCCGCGTTGGATATGATCTCGATAGGCCCACGCTCCTTCTTGCTATGGGAATGCCTGACGTAGTACATCGGCTGCTGATGTAATGTCTTAATGTCCGTCTGCAGCAGGGACGCTACCCGACCGAAGCGACTGGCATCAAAAACGACGTTGGTGTGCACCACGATTGTCCAATCGTAGTTCGACCAGCTGCTGCGCTCTTGGATCCTGGGAGGGTCACACTACATCAGAACATGTTTCCCGCTCACCCCCCTCCCATTGCCGCACTCCTCCTTCCTCCCCCTCCTCCTCCCTCTCCTCCTCCTCCTCCTTCTCCTCCTCCTCCTCCTCCTCCTCCTCCTTCTCCTCCTCCTCCTCCTCCTCCCTTCTCCCCCTTTCTCCCATCCCCACCGCCCTATGCTGGAGAGGGGTCGCGGGGCGGAGAGATTATCAGACAGGACGTCTCGCGGGTCCTCTCGAAGATCTTGCCCATGTCGCGCCCGAAAAACAGCGTGGACCCCTCGCAGGAGGACGCAAACTTACGCCTGTACCGGTCCCTGGCCAGGCCCGTCTGGGGCCCCTGACGTGCCCACTTGGCCTGGCCAGGGAGGCATGCACACCGATCCTGCTTCCACTGGACAGGATCGCTGGTCCGTCGTGAGGTCCCCAATCATCCAGGGGGGCGGATTTTGTCGTCAATCATCCAGGGGGGGCGGTTTTTGTCGAGACGCAGGCCCGCAAACCTTGCGACTTCTTCCCCGAGGGTTGGCTTCTCAACCCGAGTCGTTCTCTGGCGGCCCCAGGGTGC